GAGAGGTACACCTTGGGAACAACCGTGACACACTTAAAATCCCCAATTACATGTATCGGACGACACCATCCTTCTGCGAGGGTAGCACAATGGCTGTAGTCATAGGCATAGACTTCGGGGGGGGGGGGGGGGCGTCGGGGCTCGTGCCCTTCTGGTCAAATCCAAAGGGGGGGGGGGGGGAGGGGGCACAGCACCCCCCCCCCCCCCAGGCCCGGGACATGATCCTTACTGAGACGCTGCTTATGTGCCATGTAACGAGCTTCTAGTAGTGGCATGTCAACAAAACAACACCACGTTGCCTCTATTTGACAAAATACATGAAAAATAAAATTCCAGCGTGCTTTCGTTAGCTTCACTCTCTAGTTCTGGCAAAAAAATAACGCGCAGCACCCCCCCCCCCCCCCCCCCCCCCCCCCGGGGGGAACTTCTCAGCCTGCCCACCCCGGGACAATGGAAAGTCTACGCCGCTGGCTGTAGTAAAAACTGTGAGGAGCAGGAGCTCGAAAGACTGCGCAGTTCATGAACCGTTCTGCCTGTGGACCGGAAATAATTTTACGCACTTCTACGGGGAGCTCCCTTGGCACCAAGGGTGCTGACGAGGGTCTTGGGTGTCACACCACCTCTGTCTTTGCGGAGCTGCCGGCATGGTGGCGACGATGACGACGAGGGGCTCCCTGTCGTCGATGGCCTCCCTGGACGGCAGGACTGTTAAAGAGGCTAGATCGACGACAGACTCTTTGGTGGCGCCACCGCTGCTGGCGCAAGGAACTGCCAGAGCGGCCTGCAGAGGGCCCCGCGACGGCACGGCTTTGGCAGGTCTCGAACTGGGACACAAGGCCTAGCCTCAGAGCCTTCCCCCTATCCGACAGGCGCACCAGAAAGTGGGCAGGAGCCTGCCCGCCACCTTCTGGCTGGAACCCCGCCGAGCCCGGCTCAGAACCGTCCGAGCTCGACCCACGACCCAGAGTCCGACTCTGAACTGCCAGATTCGGCATCTGGCTCCGGTTCTGGCTCCATCGATGCAAGGCATATATTTCGAATTCTCTTTGATGTTTTAAAGGCCCTATAGGGAAAATTGCTTGCATATGCAACTTTAAACCTGTCCAAAAATGTATTATACGCATTGTCGGGATCTGTATCACTGGGAACATCAGACCAGTTTTCACTTTCAATACACTGAATAAAACTGTCTAGGCGGGCAAAGCACCGAAAGGCGGGAAAAGCAGCCTCCCTCAGCGTTCAGCCGCTTCTTTTGGCAGCGGCGTCAGCGAGGTGCTCGGGGGCTAACGCTCTGCTTCTACATCACAGGTCAGTGGAATCGGTTTTGTAGTAGAGCCGATTTCCTGCATTTCACGTTTACCGCTGACGCTGCTGCTACTTAGCGTTTCTTTTGTCGTAGTGTATGCATAAATGGCTGACCCATTGTGTATAAAGTACCAAGAATAAATTACCACTGAGAAACCTTCGCTCTCATGCGCTGAATGTGGGTACTCCTATCACTGTGGATCATGCACGAGCGTGTCTGAAGCTACGCTTAAAACGTAAAGGCGAATTGTACCACAAGACGTGGAACTGTGAAACTTGCCGAACTGTGAAGCTGAAAGGCGGCGCATGTAGCAAACAAAAGCAAGAGGGTGATATGTCTGCTATGCTAGCAAACATGAACAGGAAATGGGATGACTTATTGACCTTAAAAGAGACTGGGCGGCAATGAAGCGTCGATTCAGCTTATGTCCGACAAGTACGACTAAATTCTAAGTCATATTGCCAAGCAGGACCATGAAATTAAGGATTTATAGAAACTAGTTGACGCAATAGAGGAAAGTGAAAAACAGAGTGAAATCGGACAACTTAAGCAGGAAATAAATGATCTTGAATGGAGAAGTAGGAGATGTAACTTGGAATTTCATGGCATCCCAAAAACTGAAGGGGAAAATTTGCTCAGCAAGGTTAACGAGCTTGCTAGCGTATTGGATGTGCCTTAGCTTACTATACACAAAGTAGCCGCCGTCCACAGACTGCCATCCAGACCTGAGAAAGTCCCTGGGATCATTGTCAGGTTTACATCTTTTCTTTCACTTCCTTTGGCAGCGGCGTCAGCGAGGTGCTTGGGGGCTAACGCTCTGCTTCTACATCGCAGAGATTTCTTCGATCCTGTTCTACCCTTCAAACAACGCAGTGTCATCTTCTGGGGCAAACAGCCAGGTGCCGCATCAAGATCCTAGTCATCGGTGGACGGAAGCCATCAACGCCACCGCTAAGATCGCCGGAGTGCTGAAAAGCAGCCTCCCTCAGCGTTAAGCCACTTCTTTTGGCAGCGGCGTCAACGTGGTGCTCGGGGGCTAACTCTCTGCTTCTACATCACAGATATCTCTTCGGACCTGTTCTGCCCTTCAAACAACGCAGCGTCATCTTCTGGGGCAAAAAGCCACGTGCCGCATCAAGATCCTAGTCATCGGTGGACGGAAGCCATCAACGCCACCGCTACGATCGCCGGAGTGCTGAAACGCATCCTCCCTCAGCGTTCAGCCACTTCTTTTGGCAGCGGCGTCAGCGAGGTGCTCGGGGGCTAACTCTCTGCTTCTACATCACAAATATTTCTTCGATCCTGTTCTGCCCTTCAAACAACGCAGCGTCATCTTTTGGGGCAAACAGCCACGTGCCGCATCAAGATCCTAGTCATCGGTGGACGGAAGCCATCAACGCCACCGCTACGATCGTCGGAGTGCTGAAAAGCAGCCTCCCTCAGCGTTCAGCCACTTCTTTTGGCAGCGGCGTCAGCGAGGTGCTCGGAGGCTAACGCTTTGCTTCTACATCACAGGTTAGTGGAATCGGTTTTGTAGTGGAGCCGATTCCCTGCATTTCACGTTTACAGCTGACGCTGCGGCCACTTAGCGTTTCTTTTGTCGTAGTGTATGCATAAATGGCTGACCCATTGTGTATAAAGTACCAAGAATAAATTACCACTGAGAAACCTTCGCTCTCATGCGCTGAATGTGGGTACTCGTATCACTGTGGATCATGCGCGGGTGTGTCTGAAGCTACGCTTAAAACGAAGGGCGAATTGTACCGCAAGACGTGGAAATGTGCAACTTCCCGAGCTGTGAAGCTGAAAGGCGGCGCATATAGCAAACAAAATCAAGAGGATGATATGTCTGCTATGCTAGCAAACATGAACAGAAAATTGGATGACCTACTGACCTTAAAAGAGACTGTGGGCGGCATTGAAGCGTCGATTCAGCTTATGTCTGACAAGTACGACCAAGTTCTAAGTCATATTGCCAAGTAGGACTATGAAATCAAGGATTTAAAAAAACGAGTTGACGCAATAGAGGGAAGTGAAAAACAGAGTGAAATCGGACAACTTAAGCAGGAAATAAATGATCTTGAATGGAGAAGTAAGAGATGTAACTTGGAATTTCATGGCATCCCAAAAACTGAAGGAAAAAATTTGCTCAGCAAGGCTAATGAGCTTGCTAGGGTATTGGATGTGCCTGAGCTTACTATACACGAAGTAGCCGCCGTCCACAGACTGCCATCCAGACCTGAGAAAATCCCTGGGATCATTGTCAGGTTTACATCGCAAGCAAGACGGGGCGTCTGGCTGGATAAAAAGGCTAAACTGAGAACCACGGGTGCTAGCATTTACATAAATGAGAACCTGTATAAGTTTAATAGGGAACTGCTGGTAAAAATGAAGGAATGGGCGAGACAAAAAGGGTTTTCGTACGTCTGGCACCGTTACAGAAAACGTTTTGCTGGTAGAAAAGATGGTGAGCGCGCGGTTATCATAAAGAATGAAGATGATTTACTTAAACTGAGCTAGACGCTTTTCGCTGGCACCTCACGCTTGAAATGTTAGATTCACCCTATCTGCATGTCACTGATATTATCGAGCGCCTCGAATATGAAACCAAGCTTTCGATAAGGGCTGTCCACTTGAATGTAAGGTCAGCCAAAAACAAGATAATCGTTCTTGAAAGCCTCTTTGGCCAGTTCGAAATTCCTTTCAATGAAATTCTCCTAACAGAAACCTGGTATACTAGTGAAAATGACGCATTTCAATTGCCATCCTATGAGAGTTATTGTCTGAATCGTACTTCCAGTCAAAGGGGAGGCGTGTGTGACCTAATTGAAAAAAAAAATCAAATGTCAGCTGTTATCTAACTTTTGCATTGTCACCAAAGATTACGAAGTGTTATCTGTACTGACAAAAGATACACTTATTTCTGTAATTTATCGACCGCCCGACGGCAATATTCAACGTTTGTTTGAGTTTTTTGAAACGCTCTTAGGATTTAGTACAGATAGGGGCTTTCGTTTACTGATTTCGAGCGGTTTCGAGAGTATGACTGACCTGACTGACCTGTCCGCATATGCCTATCCGTTTTTCGTTTGGTTTTTCGAGCATAAATTGTTATGCTTATAATAACTTAAATAATATAAGAATTAGTTCATACAATGTTTATCACGTTATAAATGAGTTACTCTGTGCTCGCGAGGTGTACTCCCCTCGAAGCAATCCATCTCCACCGGAACATTTACACTCGAACTGGCAATAAGCTGCCGTTGTGCATACTTTTTTCAGTTCATACCAGAAACGGCGATCCTATAATTAAAACAATGCTGCAAGTCACATATGAGTTTCAGGTATTTCTGTGCACTTATATTTTAAGGCAGTAGTATTTAGTGGTAATAGTGTTGGTAATTTTCCTTAGGTGTATTGTATCAGCTGCGTGGCAGTCGCTCCTGCAAGAGCTGCCATGCAAAACGTCCTTCAATCCTAAGGTTAATATGGCTGCTCGTGATGCCTTCACCCCGGAGTTTGCATAAATGGTAAAATAATGTAACTTTGGAGTTGTAACATGAAGTGACTAATAATGCTATTCACTCTTTTTGCAGGCTGCGTAAAGTATGCTGTCAGTGCAGGCGTCATGGAAGACCATGCCAAGCTGGGAATGTTGAGTGACGTCAGCTGCAGCAGCAACAGAGAGCACAGTCCGTGGGGTCAAAAGGCCCTGCCTCACCCCTCCTTAATGTACCTGGGTTTAACATCGTTCAAAGTTTCAACCCAGACACATGCACTGTGCATTGCTTGGTGTTGCTCGCCAGTTTGCTGAGCTGTGGTTTTCCGCTGTTGGTGAAGATTACTACCGTATTTACTCGAATGTAACGCGACCACGATTTAACGCGAGGGATGACTTTTCACAGTGCAAAAAGAAAAAAAAAAAGAACTCGAATGTAACGCGAGTTAAGTGAGGGGAAAAAAGTACCTTAAAAAGTACTACAATGTGGTCCGCGGAAGCCTTTTCGGTCGGGTTCACTCTTGAAGAGCACTTCACGCTGGAGCCTCCACCCACGGATAGTCGATTCTGTCACATCTACCCGTCGAGCCGCGGCAGAGTTTCCGATTTCCTCAGCCATCATAATTGCACTTCTTTTAAAGCGGGCGTCGTACTGAGCTCGTCGCGCCGCCATTTGCTCGAGTCCAGTCGCGGAAGCACGTAGCAGAAGCTCACAAAACACGGACAACACAGGCACATGGGTACGGTAACCCTAACAGAAAGAGAAAGCGTTGTGAAGGTAACCCGTAACCCTAACATGGGCGCAACGAGTCGCAAACAAGAATAGGATTGGATTGGCTGTTTCCAGCGTGTGTATGTTGCCAGCACAAGATTGAAAGATCGCGAGGTTTGTCGTAGCCATTTTAAAGAGCCTGTGCTGCGACACCGCCAAGGCAAATTTTGAGGCGTTTCGATTATAACGCGAACCCCCAAATTAGGTAAGGGAAATTTGAAAAAAAAAACTCGCATTACATTTGAGTAAATACGGTACATTCATGATCCGACGCGGCAAGCAGTCGTAAATGAACGGTCATGTGGCCTGAAGCCACCGCAATGCATTAACCGACCACCGCAGGCCCTGAAGCTGAAGAAATACTGGAAGGCAGCTGAATGGCAGTGCTGGGTGTTTTATTACTGCCAGCCGTGTTTGATGAACATACTGCCAGAACAGCATTTTCAGCATTTTGACCTGTTTGTCTCAGCGTTGTATCTGCTGCATAAAACAGATGTAACCACAGAGGATGTGGACGTCAGCACGTCAAAGCTGACAGAGTTTGTCGTCATGACCGAATACCCATATGGTTCAGCCCAAATCCCCTCAAACGCGCACACACTCCTGCACCTTCCCAAGGCAGTTCTGCTTCATGGACCACTATGGGCGCTCTCATGTTCTGCCTAAAAGGCAAATATGGGCCATCTCCTTAAATTGGTTTCATCCTCGAATGGAGTAGCCGTTCAGATTGTGTCCCGCACTTTGATGGGAAACTGTTTAAGTTAAAGAGCATGGCTTCGGATGAGGTCCAAGAGTCCATCTCTGGGAACAAACAAAAACAAAGTGAGCTGCAGCTTCTTGGAAAGCCAAGACAGACCCATGAGCACGTTTCCGGACTTGTTGAAGAGCTGACTTCGGGAAGCGTCGCAGAGGTCGTAGAGTACCACAGGGCGCAGGTTTTCGGACACACTGTGCACAGCACCCAGTACCAGCATCCTTCAAAACGTGATTCAAAGGCTCTAAAGATAGGCAACAAGTATGCAAGAGCAGATCATAATTTGTCAGCAACTGATGTTGGCGATAACCCCAAGGCGTACGTCATGTCGTCCATCTATGTCGCGATTCACTTCGGAGGTGCGAGTCACCTAAAACTCCCTAAGAGCAGTCCACGAAGAGCCTGTATGAGCTTCGAGAACCAGTGCATCCATGCATGTATTTAGATATTAAGGGAAACATTATTTTTGCTATGCTCTGCAACAGGTATGAGTTGTCCTAGCTCTGCTTAGTTTGTTTGAAAACTTTTCAATATTTCTGCTTCAATGAGCAAATAAATTATCTAAACTTTACTTACTGCCACCCGTGTGAAATTTTTCTTTTTATTTTCATTATGTTATCAAACACTGCAAAGAAAGTCTTCAGAAAAAGATATAAATATTTCAAATGTACCACACGAAGCTACCAGAACTAATGAAATGGAGCATACATATAATTTCATTTTTCTATTTTATTCTTCAGTTTTTTTCGCTTCTATGCTAACTAAATAAGAACTGCAGATTACTTTACCTAATGTTTTATATGTTCCAGAGCAACGGTTTCCTCGTCCAAAGGAAAAGCCTACCGAAATGGAAATCCACACTGGAGCCTCAGAGCCACCTCAATGCGGCTTGCCTTGTGGAGTTGGTCAACTCCAGCCAACCCACGCAGTGCCACCTGGACGCCGCAACAGACAAGCTACCTTTTGAGGTGCAGAAGACTCTCCAACATTGAAAGGTATAACGGCCCTGTAAGGATAGAATATATCTGGACCTTTTCCGCTGGGTTTTTCATGGAAAGGGCGCAAAGATAGACGGAGGATGGCTTTTGTATCATGAAGCTGATTTCGAACGCCTGAGACTACCGAGCCGGTTGTACGTTCGAGACACCAAATTGGGTGGTGGAGTGGAAATTCAATTTCCCTTGAGGATCAAAGGCAGTCTCCGTCGCCCGAGGGCTTCCGGAGCATTTGTGAACGGGTTTTCACAGGAATACTTCCACATTTACTTTCTAGCGAAAGGTGTGACCACGGTGCTATAATGGCGGAGACAAGCGAATGCGGTGTCGGCGTAAAGCTAGAAGGAGGTTTCATGAGTATTATGCTAACTAACACGCTTGTTAGGCAAGTTCAACACGAAAAGGAGTTGCTAGAGAATTCTTACGTAGAAACACTCCAAAGGCATTGTCCTTGTAACATTTCTCTGCATAATGTAGACTAACAGATAGAGAAGCGGTTGCGATCATTGTACACAGCTGTGGAAAGCCCGTACAAAAAACTTAAAACACGCGATAAGCCTAATTTTTTGCTGAGGCAACGAAACATGACCATTGGTCTTGCAGCTAATGCCTGTGCTCAAGCGGATGACATGGGGCAGAGCGATTGCGTACCGTCTGAGGCACTGGATGAAACTCTGCAAAAACTATTGGAGGAGAAAATCGCTGAAAACAAGCAACTGAAGACTACAATAACATCGCTGACTTATACAGTCGAGTCAGGGACAGCGCATCTGACCGCAGATGGATTCAAACAGAGCTTCCCCAATCATGAAACAGCTTGGATAGAACATCCACCCTGACCTGGAGCAGAGGAAACTCTGGGATGTGGTCCACAAACTTCACGACCCCAAGAGCCTGAATCGCCGGGAACCCAAGCAGCGGCATCGTTTGCTCACAATAGTTTGTGCCAAAACAATATACAGTTGCTTTTTAATTAGCCTTATTTTGCAGTTTTCATCTATCCGCAAAAGCTACTAGACACAAAACTATTATGCGTGGCATATCCAACATTCCTAACTCTCCTCATCTTCCTACACGTCCGCGTGTGTCCTAACGTCAGAAACCGGAATTTCCAAAGTTAAAAACCAGATGTTGCGAATATGGGACCCACACTTTTATGCCAAGCTGGCACCAAGTGACTCAAATTGAAAAACGTGCATATTTACAATAATATTGTAACCTGTTCTTGTGAAGCCTCAGCCGCCCATTGCCATTCATTTTTGCGCACGAAACGGTGACTCGCAGAAAAAGTAAGAGGGCAGTGTTACCGGTGTTACCGCCTTTATTTTAACACTGCACACACTTGTAGGCTTGAACCAATGCTGGCTTGCGCTGATGAGGTCTCGGAACCGAAACAAGTGAATCGTGACTGTGTGCGCTACTACCCGACCTTGTTGACCCACCACTTCTTCAAAACGTGACTGCATACTTCCTAGTAAATGCACAAAAATGACATTGATACAATTATCTTGTAGAATATTGCCTTATTAGAGAGTTTTAGTAGACAGTTTTCATCTTCCGCTCCGCTCTGAGGGTGCCAAACTGCGCATGCGCGGCCCGCTTCGCCGGAATGGAAAGCGGAGGTCCAAAAACGCGTTTTAGTAGAGCGTTTTTCTTCAGCGTAAGAGCGTTTTGAGCGGGTTCGAAAAATTTGCTTGCGTAGCCCCACAAGTGGACGTTTATAGTACTAGTAAGACAAAAAAACCTAAGCGTTAACACCAAGAGAGTGAAAGGGAGCGTGATTGCAGAGGTAGTAAAAACGAAGGCGACAATAATGAACACAAAAGAGTAGGCACACACCTGAAGAAATATTAAGCTATAAAATATAAATATAATCATTCCACCTTGTGTGCGAGTGAAGCCGAAGGTATAAGCATGAGCATGTTGCTCAAAACGGTACTTGCACTGCACGAGCGCGCCTGCTTATCAAGGACGCTGAAAGGCCGGCACTCGCTGTTGTAGCTTCTGCTCCACTCGAATTAAAACTGAAACAGATTTACTTATTCGAAGTAGAAAAATAAGAGAAAAGGACGAGGTTTGCGCATTGCGAGTACATCCTTTTGCGTAGTACGAGTACAATGTTGCTCAAGGCTAGCAAGGCATCTGCACGATGAATCCCCGCTGTTCTCAAGGAAGGAGACTTCTACTAACGAGATTAAGCTGGCGAGACATCGAATCTATGATTCGTATCCCTTGTGCCATCAAGCCCCGAAGCTTCCTTTCCGAAAGCGGTTTGCTGGATATTTCCAACGTAGAAAAGAAACCCTTTAAGAAGCTATCCTGCTTAAAGAAGGATCTGGCTGTTCTGTATGCGGGCCTCCAAATACCAGCACCCGACAGATCGGCGCAGGGTGTTGCCAATCTGGCGAGACGCTTTGCATGGTTCTTCCTCGACTGGCCTATCCCAACCGTCTGTTCGTACTTGGATGAGCGTTTGGACGGAACTTGTCGGTGTTCTTCAGTTCTGTGAACCTCATTGTGGGTCACATCAACGAGAGGTTCGGCCACCTGCTTGCTGACATGAACAAACATAGGTGGTTGACCCTGGCGAAACTAGAGCTGTGCTCACAGGTGAGACCCTGCATGGTTTGTGTAAATTTCGCGTTTCCATTGTTTCTAACACAGCTGCTCTGTCTGGTGAAAAGTTACTTTTTTCTATACGCCAAAGGTGTACATGGGCAGTGTCAGGACAAGTCACGACGAGCGCGTTCGTAATCTGCGAGTATTAGTAGGCCACTTTTATGAGCCCCCTTTGCTCCACTTTACGCTCTGCGAGAAGCATCGTCCCCACTGCGCATGCGTGGCCCGCTCTGAGTTGGAGCGTATAGTTAGCGGAGTGAGCGTGCGCTCCGCTTCACAAGTTGTAGAGCGGACTGCCCTCAGCGTCCTTAGCGTGATCGCTTGGATCTCAAGATGGCTGCACTTACTCAACACGCGTCAATGTTTTTGACCGTGACCTGAGCTTGAAAGAGGTCGAATCAAGAAGTAAAGCGTACGCCCCGCGCGTAAAAAGTAAACCATTCGATTTGAGTTCTATGTAACACAAAACAGCATAATCAAACGAAGTGAACGAGTATCACTTTGCAACCAGCACGGCGTCGGTAAAGTCGTCGCGTTTTGTGGACAAAATATGGCTATGCAGTCAGATGTACGGGTGCGCGTGCTTGAACGCCAATTATATCTGTGCATGCACCCTCCTGTCGAAAATGCCACTGAAAGCTGACCACGAGCATAGCGCTCGCAAGCTGCACCAAAGAAACCATTCATCTCAGCTTTATTTATTCACACTCGCTCGCAACTTTTGAATTGTTTAACTTTCCTCAGGAAATGTTTGCATTGGATTTCCTTGGTAGATTTAGAAAATAATAGAAACTTGAATGCAGCCTTTTTAAAAGTGCAACCCATTGTGCCGCTAGTCTTCGAGGCCGCCTTATTTTGGCCATGTGTCTAGGGAGCAAGAGAGCTACATCATTGTTTGTCGCGAATGCGAGTCAAAATGTATTAGACACGAATGCTGCGTCAATACTGAATATGAAATGGGTTCTAGTCACAAGTCTCGCACTAAAAGCGATGCCCAAAATATGGCGGCCGAATATGTTACCCGGTGGTGTTTTGAGAAGAGTTACCAATAACGGTCGAAAGAATATTCCACGTCAATTTTTTGTCTGGTGAAAACCAGACAGGCATAAACAATGCAAAATTTAGCAAACACAACCCTGGACTTCTAAGCAATAGTGGTAGATTAGAACAGTTTTCAGAAGTTTTGTTTTGAATTCCGGCGTAGCGGGCCTCGCATGCACAGTTTGACGGCCTCAAACCTTAGCAGAATTAAGGAACTATATATATATATATATATATATATTAATTTACGATACCCAGTTTTCTACAACCTTACAATGGAAATACGCTCTATCTTAGAGGAGTAACAAGTCCCATATCACATGTTTTGGTAGTGTTTAAATACTGCCGTGTTGTAAGAGTGTTTTTCTTTGTCTTTTTTATTAGGCCGTCAAGGACAAGGGAACACCCCTGAACAACTGTTGGGGTTTTGTTGACCGCACAGCATGCCCATATGCCGTCCATCAAAAAAATTAGAAGAAGACCACAAGAGGCTGCTCGTCGTGAAGCACCAGGCAGTGATGTGCGCAGACGGCATAATTTGACGGCTGGACGAAACCTACAAAGACCATGGGCATTTTCTTGTTTGTTTAATATTAGAATGCATAAAATTATCACAGTAAATCATGTTCAAGCTTTTGTACTGAGCGAAATACCTGTCCAACTGGGCTGAAAGGCATCTAGAAATATTTTAATAAAAAAATGTTTACTAACGACTCCCATTTTACTTCTCAGATGTGCGTGTGAATATGGCATCTAACCAAATTACAGTGTTACTGTTGAATTCAGCATTGTAAGAGTAGACTATGTTGCGTGGCCTTCTATTGCAAGAAAAGACCGTAGCACAAGTGAGGCAGAAACTGGGCAGGAGCTTAAGCTGAAAAACGCACTTTCATAAACACACAAAAGAAATTAAAAAAAGTGTATAGTCAAGCAAAATGGTATCATGTCACCCCCCAAGGCAGATAGATACACTGCGCTCCACTGTTAATACGAACACGAAAAAAATCGCTTTTATTTCCAGTTTATTTCTTTGACAGCTATTGAAAAAGCTGAAAATTTGTCGCTCAGATTAGTGCTCTAAACGAGCGCTTTATTCCACACCAATAGGCAAATGTCAGCCCCTCGAATTTAAGGTAAAAAATGAAAACAGGATATTGAATGCTCCCGCTAACAGTGTCGCGCAGTGTACATAAACAACAAGGCACCATATCACAAACCGAAGCATACGAAGAAGAAAAGACGCATTTCATTGGGGGAAAAAAAAAAGTAGAGATATAAATGGAGCACTCGCTTTCGCTAATTTTCACTGTCTTGCTGCCTGAAGTAACCAAACAAAATAACTTTCCGTTTGCCGACTGCTTTAGTCTTTGGTCTTTAACCTTTAATTTTTGGCTCTGGAGAGCCGCAGCACCGCGGAAAGCAGCAGCCCGTACCACCGAGGCCCGCGGTGCCGCGTCTAGGGAACACGGTAATGTGATGAGTATATACGTGCAAGATGACGACGACGTGGGTTGTTGGTATTGGGGAGGGTGGCAGTCCGACTCGCAGAAGTCCAGACTTCGTGGAGGCGGGTTGGGCGGGTGAGCAGCGAGCTGTGAGGATCTTGCACGCCGTTCGATCAGTGCATGAAGGAGCACCAGGAACATAATGGCGCTATTGCTCACTGGGGTCCACTGGGGTCGAAGAATCATGCTCCAAGGAGGTAGTCCAGCCGAAGTAGAAGCTGCCGCCTCCGAGGAACCGAGGCCCAGGGCTCAGATTGAGACACCGCCGACGCCCGGTGTGTCATCCTCTCAACGTCGTTGTCGTCATCTCGCATAGAAAAATCGAGCCCGCTGGCTTAGACAAGGCAGCACCTGTTCCCACCGTTCAGGAGCCGCGAAAGGATTCCGGCCAGCGATTTCTCGAAGCAGCCAGAGGTTCTTGACCACCGTGAAACGTTTCCTGGGGGACGCCTTTCAAACAAAGTCTGCGCAGCTTCTTAGTGCAGCAAGGTTCATTAGGGTCAAGCGCGCTCCCAAGCA